GGTTTGGGGTCGGCTCTGGGGTCCTGGGGGTTGAGGTCAGGTCTGAGGTCCCAGGGGGTTTGGGGTCAGGTCTGGGGTCCTGGGCTGGGTTTGGGGTCGGGTTTGGGGTCCTGGGGGTTTGGGGTCGGGTTTGGGGTCCTGGGGGTTTGGGGTCGGGTCTGGGGTCCTGGGGGTTTGGGGTCGGCTCTGGGGTCCAGGGGAGTTTGGGGTCGGCTCTGGGGTCCTGGGGGGTTTGGGGTCCTGGGGGTTTGGGGTCGGCTCTGGGGTCTTGGGGGTTTGGGGTCCTGGGGGTTTGGGGTCAGGTCTGGGGTCCTGGGGGAGTTTGGGGTCAGGTTTGGGGTCCCGGGGGTTTGGGGTCGGGTCTGGGGGTCCTGGGGGTTTGGGGTCGGCTCTGGGGTCTTGGGGGCTTGGGGTCCCGGGGGTTTGGGGTCGGGTCTGGGGTCCTGGGGGTTGGAGTTGGGTTTGGGGTCCTGGGGGTTTGGGGTCGGGTCTGGGGTCCTGGGGCGTTTGGGGTCGGGTTTGGGGTCCTGGGGGGTTGGGGTCGGCTCTGGGGTCCCGGGGTTTGGGGTCTTGGGGGGGTTTAGGGTCGGGTTAGGGTTCAGGGTTGGGTTTAGGATCTCAGTGATTGTTTTTGGGTTTTTTGGGTGCAGCTGGACGAGTTCTACGTGGGGCAGATCCCGCTGAAGGAGGGGATGGTTTGGGGGGTCCGTGGCTGTGTTTGATGCCCAGATTTGGGGTTTGATGCCCAGATTTGGGGTTTGATGCCCAGATTTGGGGTTCAGGGTTGGATTTATGATTTCTGTGACCCTTTATGGGTTTTTTGTGTTCAGCTGGACGAGTTCTACGTGGGGCAGATCCCGCTGAAGGAGGGGATGGTTTGGGGGGTCCGTGGCTGTGTTTGATGCCCAGATTTGGGGTTTAGGCTCAAATTTAGGATCTCATTGATCATTTTTGGGGTTTTGTGTTCAGCTGGACGAGTTTTACGTGGGGCAGATCCCGTTGAAGGAGGGGATGGTTTGGGGGGGTTCAGGGCTGTGTTTGGATGCCTAGGTTTTGGAGTTTAGGGTTGGATTTATGATTTCTATAATAGTTTTTGGTTTTTTTGTGTTCAGCTGGACGAGTTCTACGTGGGGCAGATCCCGCTGAAGGAGGGGATGTTTTGGGGGGTTCGTGGCTGTGTTTGATGCCCAGATTTGGGGTTTAGGGTTGGATTTATGATTTCTATAATAGTTTATGGGGTTTTGTGTTCAGCTGGACGAGTTCTACGTGGGGCAGATCCCGCTGAAGGAGGGGATGGTTTGGGGTGTTCAGGGGTGGGTTTGGTGCCCAGATTTGGGGTTTGATGTCCGGATTTGGGGTTTAGGGTGGGATTTAGGATCTCATTGATTTCTGTCTCCCTTTGGGGTGCAGCTGGACGAGTTCTACGTGGGGCAGATCCCGCTGAAGGAGGGGATGATTTGGGGGGTCCGGGGGTGGGTTTGATGCCCAGATTTGGGGTTCAGGGTTGGATTTATGATTTCTCTGACCCTTTTTGGGGTTTTTTGAGTACAGCTGGACAAGTTCTACGTGGGTCAGATCCCGCTGAAGGAGGGGATGGTTTGGGGGTTCAGGGCTGTGTTTGATGTCCAGATTTGGGGTTCAGGGTTGGATTTATGATTTCTGTGACCCTTTTTGGGGTTTTTTGAGTACAGCTGGACGAGTTCTACGTGGGGCAGATCCCGCTGAAGGAGGGGATGATTTGGGGGGTCCGTGGCTGTGTTTGATGCCCAGATTTGGGGTTTAGGGTTGGATTTATGATTTCCCTGATGGTTTTTGGGGTTTTTGGGTGCAGCTGGACGAGTTCTACGTGGGGCAGATCCCGCTGAAGGAGGGGATGATTTGGGGGGTCCGTGGCTCTGTTTGGTGCCCAGATTTGGGGTTTAGGGTTGGATTTATGATTTCTGTGACCCTTTATGTCGTTTTTTGGTGCAGCTGGACGAGTTCTACGTGGGGTAGATCCCGCTGAAGGAGGGGATGGTTTGGGGGTTCAGGGCTGTGTTTGATGCCCAGATTTGGGGTTCAGGGTTGGATTTATGATTTTTATAATAGTTTTTGGGGTTTTTGTGTTCAGCTGGACGAGTTCTACGTGGGGCAGATCCCGCTGAAGGAGGGGATGGTTTGGGGGGTCCGTGGCTCTGTTTGATGTCTGGATTTGGGGTTTAGGCTCAGATTTAGGATCTCATTGATTGTTTTTGGGGTTTTTGGGTGCAGCTGGACGAGTTCTACGTGGGGCAGATCCCGCTGAAGGAGGGGATGGTTTGGGGGTGTTCAGGGGTGGGTTTGGTGCCCAGATTTGGGGTTTGATGCCCAGATTTGGGGTTTAGGGTTGGATTTATGATTTCTGTGACCCTTTATGTCGTTTTTGTGTTCAGCTGGACGAGTTCTACGTGGGGCAGATCCCGCTGAAGGAGGGGATGGTTTGAGGGTTCAGGGGTGTGTTTGATGCCCAGATTTGGGTTTTAGGGTTGGATTTATAATTTTTATAATAGTTTTGGGGTTTTTGGGTGCAGCTGGACAAGTTCTACGTGGGGCAGATCCCGCTGAAGGAGGAGATGGTTTGGGGGGTCCGTGGCTGTGTTTGATGCCCAGATTTGGGGTTTGATGCCCAGATTTGGGGTTTAGGCTCAGATTTAGGATCTCATTGATCATTTTTGGGTTTTTGGGTGCAGCTGGACGAGTTCTACGTGGGGCAGATCCCGCTGAAGGAGGGGATGGTTTGGGGGGTCCGTGGCTGTGTTTGATGTCCGGATTTGGGGTTTAGGGTGGGATTTAGGATCTCATTGATCGTTTTTGGGTTTTTTGTGTTCAGCTGGACGAGTTCTACGTGGGGCAGATCCCGCTGAAGGAGGTGACGTTCGCGCGCCTCAACGACAACATCCGCGAGGGGTTCCTGCGCGAGATGTGCCGCAAGTTCGGGGAGGTGGAGGAGGTGGAGGTGCTGCTGCACCCGCGCACCCGCAAGCACCTGGGGCTGGCCCGCGTGCTCTTCAGCAGCTCCCGCGGCGCCAAGGAGAGCGTGCGGCACCTGCACAACTCCACCGTCATGGGCACCTCCATCCACGCCCAGATCGACGTCAAGGGTGCGTGCCGCGCGCTTTTGGGCCGGTTTGACCCCGTTTTATCTCAGTTTGACCCCGTTTTGGGTTGGTTTGATCCCATTTTGGATCGGTTTGACCCCCTTTTGGGCCGGCACCTGCACAACTCCACCGTCATGGGCACCTCCATCCACGCCCAGATCGACGTCAAGGGTGCGTGCCGCACGCTCGGCCCGCTCTGACCCCCTTTTATATCAGTTTGACCCCATTTTGTCTCAGTTTGACCCCATTTTATCTCAGTTTTACCCCATTTTATCTCAGTTTTACCCCATTTTGTCTCAGTTTCACCCCGTTTCATGTCAATTTTGCCCCGTTTTGTCTCAGTTTTAGCTCATTTTATCTCAGTTTTACCCCATTTTATCTCAGTTTTACCCCATTTTATATCAGTTTTACCGTATACGGTGTTAGTTTTACTTTATTTTGTATTGGCTTTATTGCATTTTGGAGCCCCTGGTGGTCTAGTGGTAAAGGCGCCGCGCTATGACCGCGGAGACCCGGGTTCGATTCCCGGTCAGGGCCACTCCCGGGCAGGTGGGGCTCGTTAGCCCTTAAAGGCAACCCACCTACGTCCTAAGGACCTCGCTGCCACCGTCCAAGCTCGCTTGGCCCCGGCAGATGAACCTTAGGATTAAAGGGTGGGCTCAGTTCCGCGCACACTGTGTCTCACCTAAAAAATCCAATGCGCAGGCTGGAAGGTGGAAAGACCTTCCCCGGATCTTCGCTCGCGAAGACTGGCCATTATTATTATTATATTGCATTTTATCTCAGTTTTATACTGTTTTATTTTAGCTTTACCGTATTTTATCTCAGGTTTATATTATTTTATCTGAGTTTTACCAGGTTTTATCTCAGTTTTAGTTTCTTTCAGTTCAATTTTTACCCTGTTTTGTCTGGATTTCATTTCATTTTTTTTTTTTTTAAGTTTTACTATGTTTTAATTTGAGTTTAGTTGAGTTTTAGTTTTTTTTGTGTCAGTCTTTACCCCATTTTATTTCATTATTGCTGAGTTTTGCCTTGGTTGTACGTCAGATTAAACTTATTTTGTCTGGATTTTATCCTAATTTTAATCCATTTCATGTCAGTTTTACCCCATTTGGTTTGTTTTCTTTTTCCTTAGGTTTATCCTATTTTGTCATGGTTTTAGCCTGATTTTACTCAAGTTCATTTCTAGGTTTAGTGCTTTTTATGTTAGTTTTATCTGCTTGTATTTCAGTTTTATCCTATTTTGTGTTAGTTTTGGCCCATTTTTTGCTGGTTTTATTTTAGCTCATTTTACTCCAGTATTACCCTGATTTTCATTCATTTTATCTCCAATTTATGTGGGTTTTGTTTGATTTAACCCCGTTTTATCCCAATTTTCCTCTGGTTTAACACCAGTTTTGCTCCTGATTTCCCCCTAATTTTCCCCCCCATTTCTCTCTAATTTTCCCGTTTTTCCCCCAATCTCTCCCATGGTTTTTTACCTGATTTTTACCTGATTTTGCCCCGTTTCCCCCCGGTTCCCCGCAGGGCAGCAGCGCATGAGGTACTACGAGCTCATCGTCAGTGGCTCCTGCACCCCCCAGACGGTGCCCACGGGGGGCAAAGCGGCTCCAGAGCGGGGGGAGACGGTGAGGGGGGGCTGGGACCACCCTGGGGGGGTGAGACCCCATTCTGGGGGGCTCTGGGACCACCCTGGGGGGGCTGGGACCCCCTTTTGGGGTGCTCTGGGGGGCTCTGGGACCACCCTGGGGGGGTGGGACCCCCTTTTGGGGTGCTCTGGGGGCTGCTCTGGGACCACCCTGGGGGCTGGGACCCCTTTGGGGGCTTTGGGGGCTTTGGGACCACCCTGGGGGCTGGGACCCCATTCTGGGGGCTTTGGGGGCTCTGGGACCACCCTGGGGGCTGGGACCCCATTCTGGGGGCTCTGGGATCCACCCTGGGGGCTGGGACCCCATTCTGGGGGCTTGGACCACCCTGGGGGGGCTGGGACCACCCTGGGGGGGTGAGACCCCATTCTGGGGTGCTCTGGGGGCTCTGGGACCACCCTGGGGGCTCTGGGACCCCCTTTGTGGTGGATGGGACCAGCCCGGGATGGGGGCTCTGAGGGGTCTTTGGGGAGCCGGGACCACCTTTGTGGGGGCTGGGGGTTCTGAGACCGCTCGGGGGGCTGGGACCACCCTGGGGGCTCACGGGGGCTTTGGGGGACTGGGGCTGTCCAGGGGGTCTCTGAGGGGTCCAGGAACCCTGGTTCCCTATTTTGGGGGTCTCTGGGGTCTCCCTGCCTTTGGGACCCCCTGACCCCTCCCTGTCCCCCCTGCCCCCAGCCGCCCCCTCGGACCCCCCGCCGACGCCCTCGGCCGACGGCGCCGCCCCCGGCAACGGGACCCCGAGCTGGGGGCAGGGGGCTCCTTCAGGCCCTTCCCCGGCCCCGCCCTTCGGCCCCGCCCCCTCTGCCGAGGGCTCCGCCTACGGCGCCAGGTGAGGGGGGCCTGAATTGGGGGCTGGTTTGGGGGATTTACCCCAATTTTAGGGGGACTTACCCCAATTTTGGGGGATTTACCCCAATTTGGGGGATTTATCCCAATTTTGGGGAATTTACCCCAATTTTGGGGGTTATCCCATACTGGGGCTGTTTTGGGGGAGGGTGTGTGACCAATTTGGGGGGTTGGGCCCCAATGTGGGGGTCATGCCCTATATTTGGGGGGTTTGCCATGTATTTGAGAGGGGGCTCATTTTGGGGGGGTCGTGTCCTGTATTTGGGTGGGGGTCTCATTTTGGGGGGGTCGTGCCCTGTATTTTGGGGTGTCTGTCCCCAATTTTGGGGGGGTTCTTTCCTCGCTTTTGGGTTCCACCCCCAATTTTTTTTGTTTTACCCCCATTTTTTGGGTTCTGTCCCCAATTCTGGGGGGTTCTATCCCCAATTTTGGGGGGTTCTATCCCCAATTTGGGGGTCCCCTGACGCCCCCTTTCTCTTGCAGACACCCCTTCTCCTCCGAGCCCTTCCCCCGCGCCGCTCCGAGGGAGGCCGGGGAGGGTTCGCCCCCCTCCTCCTCCTCCTCCTCCTCCTCCCGCCGCCCCCCGCGCCCCCTCCCCCTCCCCCTCGGGGTCCTTCCTGCCCTTCCCCTACGACCCTCCCCGGGCCGGTACCCCCCTGCCCCCCCTCCCCTCCCCTCCTCGCGCCGCCACCCCCCACGAGGACGAGGCCCCCGGCCCCCTTCCTCCTCCTCCTCCTCCTCCTCCTCCTCCTCCTCCTCCTCCTCCTCCTCCACGCCCGCGCCCCCCTCCCCGGGGGCCCCTGACCCCTATTTCGGGCCTCTGGGGCCGCCCCGGGGCGGGGAGGCCTCGACCCTCCCCTCCGGAGCCCCCGGCCGCTGCTCTGCCCCCCGCCCCCGCCGCCCCCGCCGCCCCCGCCGCGCGGGGCGGGGTCCCTAGGCCCCGAGGGGGACCCCGAGAGCGTCCCTTCGCCCACCACTCGAGCCTGGACTCGCGCATCGAGGCGCTGCTCAAGGAGCAGAGGGCCCACTTCTTCCTGCCCCCGACGACGACGAGGGGGAGGGCCTGCGGGGAGGGGCGGCCCCCGAGCACCCCCACGACCCCGCCCGCCCCGCTGGCCCCGCACTCCTCGGACCCTCCCCCACGACGGGAGGAGCCCCGGGGAGGGGAGCCGCTAGGACCACCTCCAGAACCCCTCGCTGCGGGGGGCCGGAGGGCGCGGGGGGCCGAGGAGAGACCCCGGAGTCGCCCAAGGCCAACGGGCAGGATGGGGTGAGGCCGGGGGTTTTGGGGGTTTGAGGGTGGGGTGGGCTGTGGGGTGTTATTGGGGGGAGGGGGCTTGGGGCGGTGGGGGGGGTTTGGGGGTCGGGGGTATCAGGGTTGAGGGTTTAAGGGGGTTTGGGAGTCCATTATAGGGGATTTGGGGCTGTGGTCTCTTATGGAGAGGTTTTGGGGGGCTGGGGGGGGCTGAGATCTGTTGTGGAAGAATTTTGGGGGGCTGTGGTCTATTAAGGGGGGGTTGGAGGGGTTTAAGGAGGTTTCGGGGGCTCTGGTGCGTTATGGGGGCGTTGGGGGAGTTAATTGGGGCCTTAGGGAGTTGTTTGGAGTTTTGGGGCTGTGTTTGGTGTTCAGGGGGTTATTTCAGGTTTTTTGGGGATTATTTGTGGGGTTTAGGGTTTATTTGTGGTTTTGGGGCTGTGTTTGGTGTTCAGGGGGTTATTTCAGGTTTTTTGGGGATTATTTGTGGGGTTTAGGGTTTATTTGGTGTTTTGGGGCTGTGTTTGGTGTTCAGGGGGTTATTTCAGGGTTTTTTGGGAATTATTTGGGGGTTTTGGGGGTAATTTGGGGTTGGGGGTTGTACCTGACCCCCTGAACACCCCCTTTTCCCCTCCCCCTTTGTCCCCCCAGGTCTCCTCGGGGGAGGACATGGAAATCTCTTCCGATGACGAGATGGGGGCGGCAGCGACGCCCTCCCCCCGACCCCCTCCCCGCTGCCCCCTCGCCCTTCCCCACCCCCGAGCCCCCTCCCCGTCCTTCCCCCGCCCCTCCCCGCAGCCCCTCATGGCCGTGTCCCTGCCTCCGCGCCCCCTCCCGATTTCGGGGGTCCCTCTACGAGCTCTTGGGCCGCCTGGGCGGGGGTCCCGGGGCCGCTGGGGGGTCCTGCCTCCTTCCAGCTGCAGACGCAGCTCCTGAGCCGCCTCCGTGCCGGGGGCCTCGGGGGCTCCTCTTCCTCCCCCTCCTCCTCCTCCTCCTCCTCCTCCTCCTCCTCCAAGCCTCCCTTCGGGGCACCCCTACTTCGCGCCCCCTCCCCCGTGCCCCCCACTTCGGGGCTTCTCCTCCCCACCACTTCGAGAGAGGCCCCCGGCACCGACCCCCCGCCGCTGCTGCCGCCCCAGCCGCCCCCAGCCCCCGCCGCAGCCGCCCGGGGTCCTGGGGTCCTAGGGGTCCCGGGGGGGGCCCCGTGGAGGGGGTGCTGGCGGCGCTGGTGCAGGAGATGAAGGCCACGATGCAGCGCGACCTCAACCGCAAGATGGTGGAGAACGTGGCGTTCCGCGCCTTCGACGCCTGGTGGGAGCGCAAGGAGGAGCAGCTCAAGGTGGGCTGGGGACTGCTCCCGGGTCGTTGGGACCCCCCCTGATCGATTGGGAACCTTCCTGATACTCCATGATCAATTGGGACCCTTCCCGAGTGATTGGGGTGCTCCCTGGTCAATTGGGAACATTCACGAGTGATTGGGGTGCTCCCTAATCAATTGGGAACCTTCACGAGTGATTGGGGTGCTCCCTGATCGATTGGGACTCTCCCTGATCGATTGGGACTCCCCCTGATCGATTGGGACCCCCCCTGAGTGATTGGGGCGCTCCCTGATCGATTTGGACCCCCCCTGAGTGATTGGGACCCTTCCCGGGTGATTGGGGTGCTCCCTGATTGATTGGGGCTCTCCCAGATCGATTGGGGTGCTCCCTGATCAATTGGGAACCTTCCCGAGTGATTGGGGTACTCCCTGATCGATTGGGACACCCCCTGATCGATTGGGATGCTCCCTGATCGATTGGGGCGCTCCCTGAGTGATTGGGGTGCTCCCTGATCGATTGGGACCCCCCCGAGTGATTGGGGCGCTCCCTGATTGATTGGGAGCCCCGGCATTGATTGGAATGCTCCCTGATCGATTGGGACCCCCGGGATTGATTGGGATTGCTCCCTGATTGGTTGGGGTGCTCCCCGATCGATTGGGACCCCTGGGATTGATTGGGATTTCTTCCTGATCGATTGGGACCCCCGGGATTGATTGGGACCCCCTCTGATTGGTTGGGATCCCCGAAGTTACCTGAGGTTTCTCCTGAATTAATTGCGACCCCCTGATTAATTTGGATCTTCCCAGTTAATTGGCAGTCCCCCTGAATTGACTGAGACCCCCCCTCAATGAACTGAAACCTCCCCCAGACCCCCAGATTTCCCCCGACCCCAAATCCCCCATAGCCCCGAAATCTCCCCCATCCCCCAAATGTCTCCCATATCCCTCTAAAATCTCTCCCATATCCCCCAAAATCACTCCTATATCCCCCAAAATCACTCCTGTATCCCCCAAAATCGCCCCAGACCCCAAATCCTCCCCCAAACCCCTCCCCCGCGTCTCTGGGGTCTCCCCGCTGAGCCCCCTTTTGTGCTCCCCAGCCGTTCCAGACGGGGCGGGGGAGGAGAAGGAGCGAGCGAGGCCGAAGGAGCCCCCGCCCTCCTCTCCCTCGTGGACTGGGCCCGGGCGGGGCTCGGGCTGAGGGGGTCCTGCGGCTGCCTTCCTTCAAGGTACCCTTTTGGGGGGGTCTGGGGAGGATTTAGGGGTCCTGAGGGTGTTTGTTTGGGGGCCCTGTGGCTGCCTTCCTTCAAGGGTACCCCTTTGGGGGCTTAGGGTAGGGGTTTAGGGGTCCTGGAGTGTTTGGGAGTCCTGGGGAGTGTTTGTTTGGGGGTCCTGGGGGTGTTTGTTTGGGGGCCCTCGGCTGCCTTCCTTCAAGGTACCCCTTTGGGGGGGCTTTGGGGAGGGTTTGGGGGTCTGGGGGTGTTTGGGGGTCCTTTTGGGGTTCTGGAGAGGTGTTTGGGGTCCTGGTCCTTTTGGCCTTTAGGGTGAGACCCCCTTTTTGGGGAGTTTGGAGGCGTTATTGAGGGTCTTTGTTTGGGGGGGTTGGGGAGGTTTGGGGTGTCTGTTTTTGGGGGGGGTGTGAGAGGTCCTGGGGGTCCTTGTTTGGGGGGGTTTGGGAGGTTTGGGGTGTCTGTTTTGGGGGGGTGGAGAGGTCCTGGGGTCCTGTTTTTGGGGGTTTTGGGAGGCTTTGGGTGCCTCTTTTTGGGGGAACTGGGTGCCCCTTTTAGAGGGGATGGGAAGTTCTGGGTGTCCCTTTTTGGGGAGCTGTTTGGGGTTGGTGAACGGGAGGGGCATTGGGGTTGCCCCTGGGGGTACGTTTGGCTTTGGGGGTGCCCCCAAACCTCCCTTTTTGTCCCTTTTTCTCCCTTTTTTCCCCCATTTCAGGTGAAAAGGAAAGAGCCGTCGGAGCTGAACGAGGCGGGGGAGGAGAAGCGGCCCCGGCCCCCCACGCCCCCCGAGGAGGATGAGGACGGTGAGTGCCCCCAAAAACCCCTCCCCAGCTCCCTCTGGGACCCCACGACCCCCGTTTTCATTCCCCAGACAAAGAACTCCCCCCTGGAGCCCCCCGGGCCGAGGCCCCCGGGAAGCGCCGGAAGCTTTTCCGCCTGGACAGCGAGGGGGAGGAGGCGTCCGAGGAGTCGTCCTCGGGCAAGGTGAGACCCCCAAAAACGGACCCCATGGCAGCCCCAAAAGGCATTTCTGAGCACTCCTAAACCCCCCTGAAAAAGGGAGCGCTCAGAACACCCCAAATCTCCCACAAAAAGACCCCTGGAACCCCCAAAGTCTCCCCAAAAAGGGACTTCTCAAATCCCCCAAAAAGGACCCTGGAGCCCTTCAGGACACCTCGCAGAACCCCCAAAACATCTCAAAAGGGGCCCCTGAGGACCCCCCAAACTCCTCCCAAAAAAGGACGCCCTGATCCCCTTCAACCCCCCCATAAATTGGGTACCTTGAAGGAGGAGACCCCTAAACCCCCCCCAGAGCCTCCCTGATCCTCTTTATCCCCCCCAGGAGGAGGAGGAGGAAGAGGCCGAAGAGGCGCCGAGGAGGAGGAGGAGGAGAGGGAAGGGGGAGCCCCCCGCCCGCAGGGAGGGGGAGAGACGGGGACCCCCAGAGCGGGCAGAGGGTGAGTGGGTGCTGGAGGGGATTTTGGGGACGCCTGGGGGGGTTATTGGGGAAAATTGAGGGGAAATTGGGGGTGTGGGGGGGGCAGATTGTGGGGAAATAGAGGAAAAAAAAAATTGGGGGTAAGGGGAGTAATTGGGGAACTGGGGATGTTGAGGGGCAGGAACTGGGGACATGGAGGGAGAATTGGGGTCAAATTAGGGATATGGGGGAATTGGGGATATGGGAGGCGGAATTGGGGTCAAATTAGGGATACTTGGGG